GATGTACCAAAACACATCAAATACAAAAGGTTTCTGAGGACAGAGGCATGGCTCAAGTAGGTAGAGTGCTGACTAGCAGAGAGGTCCTGAGTTCAAACCCTAGTACTGCCCCCCCAAAAAAAACTAGTTTCTAAAGCAGTATTGGTGGGAATAAATGTAGCTACCTCCTGATGATAAAAGGAACAAGTCATATTGTTAACATTACCTCAAAACATGATAGGCATCTTAGAGAATTATAAGAAATTGACCAAATGAGATTACAACAAAACTTTCTCAATAATAAACAGGCAAATGAGTAAAAATACAGAAGATTTGAAGAACAGAATTAACTAGCTATCTCTAAGAGGTCCCTGTATCCAACCTGTACCTGCAAGTCTTACCATATTTTAAAGAAACTGGAGATAACATTCATTCTCTAACTTAATTCTAAAATGAAATGAATTGTTTTTCTTTCTATTTTTTGTGGGTACTAGGGTTTGAACTCAAGGCCTCCTACTTCCTTGGCAGTCAGATACTCAATCACTTGAGGCACACCCCTGGCCTTTTTCTTCAGTTATTTTTTGGATAGGGTCTTGCATTTTTTTTTGCTCAGGACTGACTTCATACTGCCATCCTTCTACCCATGCCTCTTGCTAGCTGGGATAACAGACATGTGCCACCATGCCCAGATTACTGGTTGAAGTGGAAGTATCACAAACTGATTTAGTTTTCTGGTATTGGAGATTGAAGCTGGGGCTTACATCCTCCCAGCCTGTGACTGAATGACCTCAAATCACAATTCTGCTGATTACTGCCTTCAGAATAGCTGGGAATATAGGTGTAATCTACCACACCCAGCCAAAAAAGTTTTAGTTGTTAAAAAATACATGTTTCAAATTTAAACAGTTTAACTATTAAAGGAGAATAGTGGAAAAGAAAAAAAATACAAGTTAACTAACCAAAGATTCATAGAGCAAATGTAAATAAATAGAAAACAAATGAAATAAAGATAACTGAAAAATAATGAAGTCCAGACTGCTTCCTTGAGAAGACTTAATAGACAGCACTGTTGAAATCTTAAAAAGCGCAATTTTGGAAATAAGGGGACATTACAGAAAGTAGAAAGATTCTTAATAGAGAAGACTGAGGCAGCACTTTGTAAGAATTGTTGAAATGGACAGCTTTCTACAAGTAGCAGTCCAAAGTGACAAAAGGGTAGAGCAGTTAACAAATGTTAGGACTGCGAACCAGAGAAAAAACGATTCCTTCTCTGCCTGGAGGGGAAACCTCACTGAGGAACTGAGCTTTCAAAGGACAGGCAGTACAGTTACCTTGGCAGAGGGAAGCATCACCCAGCCAGGCACACTGCACAGCCACCGAAGAAAACTGGGATAAACTTGATGAGGGTAAGAATTTCTTCTCACCTACGGATAGCTGTAAGAAAAGGTTATGCCACATGCAGGAAGACAGGTGCAGTATCTGTCATTGATGGGCAGGCACCCACAGGTCCAGAAGAGAACTCAGTGCTTTTCAGTGGTAGCAAAAACCTCGTTGTACTTACCTTTTTTTAAATGTGGGATTTTTTAAACAAAAAATTACAACTGCAAAATGTACAGATCTTAAGTGTATGGTTGGAATCTTTTTGCAGACCCTCATGTTAACACCACCTTAAATCAAGGTACAGAAAGTTCCCAGATTCCCCCCCCTTTGTCAGTCTTTAACCTCAGTAAAGAAGAAACCACTTTCTCAATTTCTGTCACCACAGATTAGATTTACATGTAGTTTTACATATAGGACATCCTGTAAATTGAACTCTTACGTGTCTGGCTGTTTTCACTCAGTATTATTTTGAGATTTGTTTGCTTTTTAAACTACCAAACATTTTCAAAGTGGTTGATCCTATCATTAATGTCTGAGCAAAGTTTTTTTTTATTGTGAAGAATATGAGCAGACAATATGCGAAGAGAAAGTGGAAATGATCATCTGAAGTGCATATTAAAAGCATTATGAACCACAGTACACATGTGTGCTCATGCCCTGCTAGTGACTGGAACCACTTTGCAGAGCAAATCTGGCAGGTGTAATAAGGATGTGTTGGTAATTCTGTACTGCAAGAAACTTATGTACATATGTAAGGGACACGTTAATGCTGAGTGCAGTTTTGTCTGAAAATACCCAAGATTGATACTTGCTAAAATGATTTCTAGCAAGGTCCATCAACAAGAGAATGCATACATTATTGTGAATATTGCTACACCGCATATTACAAACAGTTGTAGTTACCCAAAAAAACTCAGAAGCAAATTACGTTAGTTTGTGCAATCTGATAATGTAAACCATTTCATATATAGATGTCCAGTAAAACACAAAAGCATTCATAGGAATGAGATATACCAAATTATGGGGATGTTTGCTTATAAAGTATGAGGAGGGAGGAGTAGGATTAGGGAACCATGGAGTTTGTTACAACCTATAATATTTCCTAAAAAGTTGGGGGGAGGAAACTTGGCAACTGTGGTTTACAACCTGTAATCCTAGCTACTTGGGAGGCTGAGATTGGGAGAATCGAAGTTTGAGGCCAGCCTGGGCAAACAGTTCACGAGAACCCATCTCCAAAACAACCAGGACAAAATGTACTGTAGGTATAGCTCAAGTGGTAGAGCCCTGAGTTCAAACCCCAGTCCTATCAAAAAACAAAACAAAAAGTTGGGGGAGGATATACATGGAGCATGAAACAACTGGAAACTGAGGTTTGTCAAAACTGACTCAAGGCAGGAGATAGATATGTATTGTAATCTGACTCTCCTTGCCATTGAAACATTTCAGAAAATGATTCAATGTTTTCAGTTCTTTGATTACTACAAGATTGAGTATTTTATTAGCATTTTGATTATTAATGTATCTTTTACCTTCTGGATCTTCTGTTGGTATGCTTGGCTGTGTTTCATTTTTTCATTCTGTTTAAATTACCTTTCTTTTTGTGGCACTGGGGATATGATTCAATGTTTTAAAACACAGTTCTTTGATTACTACAAGATTGAGTATTTTATTAGCATTTTGACTATTAATGTATCTTTTACCTTCTGGATCTTCTGTTGGTATGCTTGGCTGTGTTTCATTTTTTCATTCTGTTTAAATTACCTTTATTTTTGTGGCACTGGGGATTGAACCTGAGCTTTTCAGCCTGCTAGTCAAGTATTCTACCACTGGGCTGCACTTCCAGCCCAAATTACCTTAATTTATTAAAGGTAGTAACTTTTTTTTTTAACTATTCATCAATATGTTTTATTCTGACATAGCACATTTGGATTAATCAAATCCAAAAGAGAATTGATTAAAGTATTTTCAAAACACATTTTTTAATTCCAAAGTCAATGTTCAAAGGGGTTTCTCGATGTATCCTGCTGTCAGGATGCTTTACTTAGGTCAGTTCAAGCCCCTCTGTTACTCTCCTTACCCTTCCTCTCCCCCGCCCCCCAATTACTCAGCAGCTCTCAGTACCTATCGTTATGTACTCTACTCTGCATAGATGTAATGTGTTTTGATATTGTTGACTATCACTCTCTTTTCCTTAAAGTTATTATCTTTAAGGCAGTTTTTACTTTAATATATTCGGAATTTCAAGTTAATTGCTTATAAAGGGCTTCTCCAGCCTGAGAACAAGTAAGTACTCCTGTGTATCTTCTTGATTTTATGTTTTCAGTTTGTGTATTTTTATTGTTAATACATTTATTTTTTGTTTTTGGTAGTACTGGGGTTTGAACTCAGAATTTTATGCTTGCTAGGCAGACACTTTACCACTTGAGCCTCACTCCCAGCCCTTGTTAATACATTTGTAATGTATTTTGGAATACATTTTGAAATATCTTTCTCTAATGCCATTTATCAAATAATTTTCTGTGTTGATTTGAAGTATCTTTATATAGTCAATTTTCTTTTTTGGGGGATGGGACTGGGGTTTGAACTGACGGATTTGTGCTTGCAAAGCAGGTGCTCTACTGCTAAGAGCCACACTTGCAGTCCCATTTTTTTTTTTTGCTCAAGTTATTTTTGGAGATGAGGTCTTGTGAACTTTTGTCCAGGCTAGTCTCAGCCTCCTAGGTAGCGAGGATTATAGGCACCAGTACCTAACCTTATAGAGTAATTTCTTAAATGCACCAGAATAACATGTTTTGTTGCTGTATGTTCTGTTTCATTGATTGTCTTTCTACTAATTTGTATAAAGTAATATGCACTCGTGAGTTCATATTTAATGGTTATGACTGGGACTGTAGCTCAGTAGTAGAGTGCTTCCCTAGCATGCGCAAGATCCTGGGTTCCATCCTCAGCACCACAAATTTAAAAAAATCTTCTCTAAAGGTTATGACAGAATGTAGTTTTCTGCCTTTCCCATTCCCATCCCCTGCCCTTTCACCCTCCCCTGCTGAAGCAGCTAGTTCAGCTTTTTGCTGTTTGTTCTGTTAAACATCTCAGTTTCTCAGTGCTGTAGGGATCTGCTGACCAGTCAACTTTACACATCTCTGACTGTACTGTGGTATGAGGACTTAACTCTCTTTTGCTTACACCCTTCTACTTTTCATCGTTTGTCCTTAGAATGTAATTTTGTGTAAATCGATTTATAAGTCATTTAAGAATAAAAATATAATATGTGCTTTTGGCCGTTTTTTTTTCGTTTTCATTTGCAACTCTTTCTTTGTACATATTGCCAATTCTTTTCATACCTTCTGCACACACTGCAGGGACAGTTTCCAGAAAGTCACATTAGACAATCTAAAAAATCTAGTTTTTATTTGTTTTTCCAATCTTCCTCCTAGAATGTTCCATTTGCTCTCCAGGCCGATGCACGCACTTAAGAATGGAGCTTACTGTCTTTTAGCTTTATTGATGACATGAGTGGGAACTTTCTTCCACTGGTTTATAACAGGTTTTGGTCAGTATATTGGGAAGCTATTGAAGTAGAAGGAAATATGCTCATGTTTATCACTGTTAGCATTGTGTTAATTTCCTTAACTTTCTCCAAGTCATGTTTATAACTACTGTACTAGTGTACACCAGTCCAACCAAGCACGGGGGGCTGGAGTCCCTTCTTCCAAGTCGAAAAAGGGGCAGACACCTGGAGGAGCTCAGTTTGTTGGCTTGGAATTGTATAAAAGACTTAAGGAATTTTTGAAGAATTACTTGACAAATCTTCTTAAGGTAAGAAGCAAAATAATGATCCTACCTTAGTTTGTATTGGGGGTGGAGAGCAGTACTGGGGTTTGAACTCAGGGTCTCACGCTTGCTAGGCAGGTGCCTCTACCATCCGGGCTATTCTGCCAGCCCATGATTCTACCTTAAATGCTAAATCTTTTACTTCACTTGATCTTTCCTTTAGGTTAACATGTGTATGGAAATGTTTTGGTATTGCTTAGTGTTTTACCTAGTACCAAGTCATAAACCATGTTCAATTTTTTTTAATCAGATAATTTAGAAGCTTTTGATAACATACTGTAATATTTCCTCTGTAACTTGTAGAACAGTGTTTTAAAGGGCAGGCCACACTTCGTAGATGCTACTGATGCAAGTTAGTTTTCCCCAAATAGAAATGTATGGTTTAGCTGTGGAAACCTCAGTAGAAATGATTTTGGTTTTCTTCATGAGTTCCTGTTAAAGAAGAAATACTACGCCATTGTATTTATTTTATTTTTTTATAAAATGCAGCAGATCTCACAAAAAGTCATACATTTTTATACTTTTAAAGTAAATTTAAGGAAGGAAGAAGCATTTTTGAATTGCTATATTAGCCCCACATTGTAAATTGTTAATGGGACACATTAATTTTTTTAACTGGGAAAGTATCAAAAATAGTGATGATTTTTGAGGTGAATTTCTTTATAAGAATTCTCATTCTAAAAGTTCAGGGTACATTTCAGGGGTGTATATGCGTATTTAGTGCATGAAAAGTTCATTTAATTTGATATGAAAACTTCTTGTGTTTTTGTGAGAGTTCATATTAACTAGCATGTTTTTGTGCACAGTAACTTAACCCATCTACAATCATATGCATCAATGTATTTTGAAGCAATAGATTTAATTTTAACTTTAATATATTATGTGACAAAGTAGTCATCTTAAAGCCTTAGTGAACTTGTTTTTAGGATGGAGAAGACTTGATGGATGAGAGTGTACTGAAGTTCTACACTCAGCAGTGGGAAGATTACCGATTCTCTAGCAAAGTGCTGAATGGAATCTGTGCCTACCTCAATAGACATTGGGTTCGCCGTGAATGTGATGAAGGACGAAAAGGAATATATGAAATCTATTCAGTAAGCATTTGTCTATTTAAACCATTCAAATGTGTGTTTCTTAATGATACATTATCTTTCCGTAAGAGTATCTAGACAAATGTTAAGCAATTTGCAGAATAGGTAGACTAATTAAGCTGGGGTTCTAAAGTACAATTTGCACAGTTCTGTGTTCACTTTTTTTTTGGTAGTACTGGGATTTGAACTCAGGGCCTCAGGCTTGCTAAGCAGGCGCTCTATCACTTGCGCCACTCCACCAACCCTTATTTGTGTTGGGTCTCAAAATCAGTATTTGCCTGGGCTGGCTTTGAACTGTGATCCTCCTGATCTCTGCCTCATAAGTAGCTGGAACTACAGACACAAGCCACTACCCCGGCCTAGATTTAGGGGTTTTTTTTGTTTGTTTTTTAATTGGTTTTTGATTCGAGGGTTTTCTTTTTTTACTTAGCAAAAGTTATATGTGTGTCATGTTGTACAGCATTTTGTTTTGAAATATGTTTATGTTGTAGAGTGGCTGATGGGCTTTTCCCTTCTTTTCCACATAGGAATGCTTTCTTGAGACTCAAAGTTGGCAGAGTAGGAACCAGTGTGGTTTTGGTTGGTTTTCCTTTGGAGACCTGTGACCTAAAGTACCAGGTGTGCCCCAGTATCACTCCTGAAAGTCATTACAGTTTTTCACTTTTTGGTTACTTTTGGCTCAGCAGTTAAAGAAAATTTAAATAAAAAGTACAAAGATATTTATGTTTGTTAAGATTCAGCTGCTTTTATTATTTTTAAAATTAGCTTTCAAAACCCATCCTGAAATGCAATAGCTACTGTTTGGAAATGCAATATAAAACCATCAGTTCTAGCAAAGGCCATTTTCAGCACCCTTACTTAGAAACTGTTCCCACCATGTACTGCTCTAGTGAGCTTGCTAAATTCAGTTGGGTATCACTTGGCATGTGGAACAGGTATCTCACCATTATGTTCCAGAATCTCCAGATAGTTTCATGACAAGTTACAAAGCTTTACTTTTTTCCAGATGACTCTTCATTTTTAATTGTAGCAAGTTTGTTTCCTCCCAAGTTAACCAGAGGACATAGGTTAATTTTATTATTAATATATGAAAGGGCTTCAGCAAGACTTCTCCCTAACCTCTTCTGAAATTTCTTTGATTTACCTTTGGTCCTACTTTCTTGCCTTGCCTGGCTCTTCCAGCTATTCTTTTGAAGTGACAGTCATCCAGAGTCAAATTATGTTTGTTGAAGAGTGTTGTGGTTCAGAAAAAAGTTTGGAAGAAAGTCATAGTCAAGAGATTTTTATAATCTGTATTTTACTAAGGATTTAGAAACTATGATAATAAACAGAATTATTTTTATCAAGTGTGTTAGGTCAAAATTTAACTTTGTTTAATCCAGGGAAGAAATTTATAGAATGAATCCACTGTTGCCCTTTAGGTATGTTCTTTATAAATCAAAAATTTCTTTGTATCTTAACTGTTAAAAAGTGAGCTGGTTGGACTGGTGGAGTGGCTCAAGCAGTAAGAGTGCCCACCGAGCAAGCGTGAGGCCCTGAGTTCAAACCCCAGTGCACCAAAAAAAAAAAAAAAAATTCTGTGATTTCAGTCTTCGGTAAACATAGTAAAAGTACAGATATGTAATACTTTTCTTTTTTTCCAGCTTGCATTGGTGACTTGGAGAGATTGTCTGTTCAGGCCTTTGAATAAACAGGTACCTACTTTTGTGTGCGTGCGTGTATATGTGGTTTTCCTTTTAAAATTCCTTTCCCACTTTGATCACTCAGCTTTGTTTTTCTCCCCCTTTGGAATCTTTTGAGTATCTCTCACATTGAATTATTTAATGTGTTTAATGGCTTTGAATGTTTAAGGGATTTATATGTAGCAATATATGTTGTATTCTGTAACCTGTGTATCTTATGTTTTTCTTATATTCTTTCTAAAGGTAACAAATGCTGTTTTAAAACTGATTGAAAAGGAAAGAAATGGTGAAACCATCAATACAAGACTGATTAGTGGAGTTGTACAATCTTATGGTAAATAATTTCCCTTAATCAGTTTTCATATCACATGACAATTGCAGCAATACTCTGACATATTCACATAAAGATATTTTAATAAGATCAAGAATATTGCTAGCATTTACAAAGGTACTCAGTTCTTTTTCTCAGTGATTTGAGTTTGCCCATCATAAAAGTTTTTTGATCCTGTGCCTTAAGGAAATTTTGATAGAAAAGAATTTTGAAATAACATTCTTTTTCTGGTGTCATACTGAATTTTTGGATATATAATATGATAGAATGTTATTGAGCTAATTAAATCTATATCAGCTTGAAAAATTGAGATTGAGAAACTGATAAAGTAATATAATATGTTAAAAGCTTGGGTAGCATTGTATTTCTCTGAAAGTTTAAAGTTAAAATTTTTTATAGCTTTTGGAAATGTAAAAGTTCTCTAAATGAACTTTATGATAATTTTGAAGTATTTCTGGCCATGGGTCAGAAATTTGCTGTTTTTACCTCTTGGATTCTTTTTCTTTTATTGAAACAAATGTACTTTAATACTAATGAATAAGAGTTACTTTATACCCTCCATTTCACATTGACCTTTTACACATAACTTAAACTGAATGCTACACCTAAGTATTTTCTGTGAAATATAACAAAAATAGGGTAATTGAAATATAGCTCATATTTATTTCTAGTGGAATTGGGGCTGAATGAAGATGATGCATTTGCAAAGGGCCCTACGTTAACAGTGTATAAAGAATCCTTTGAATCTCAATTTTTGGCTGACACAGAGAGATTTTATACCAGAGAGAGTACTGAATTCTTGCAGCAGAACCCAGTTACTGAATATATGAAAAAGGTAAGCTTTGATATAGTACATAAAGTAGACTTACGTTAAACGGTCCTTGCTCCTCAGATAAGTTCTTCTTGGCACGTGCAGCTTTCCACAAGCCATGTGTTGGCACTGCTGTCATACAGCGTCTTTAGTGGGTGCCAGTGCTCCTGTTCTCCAAAGAGCTTTTATAATTAAATTGACTTGATGATCATGACTGTTCTCTTTGCCGTTCTAAGGAAATAACCTCAATAGCTGCATGCCTTTCATGTTCTGAAGACTTGTTTCTCCTGAAATACTATCTGTGTCTAAAAAGTGTCACAGTCTTAAGTCAGTTAGAAAATTTAAGAAAGAAATATTCTCAGATTTGCAAACTTTTAAGTGTTTGCTTTTTTGTTCCTAAGATATTCCCTGTGAGTCTATAACAAAGCCTTCAAGTCTGTAGTAAGGAACAGGTTCTTCTGAAACAGAAAGATCTAAATACTGATTTAGGAGACACGAAGATCCAAGGTGGAACCCTTTTCTGTACTGAGTAGTGCTCCCATGAAGTCCTATTAGAATCATTCTGCGTTCTGTTTCTTGGAAATATCAGGTATCCAGACATAGGCTCTGAGAAATGACTAGGTCAGGAGTCAGCCAGCTTTTTCTTTTCCATTTTTTTGTGGTACTGGGGTTTGAACTCAGGGCCTACAACTTGAGCCACTCCACCAGCCCTTTTCTGTGATGGGTTTTTTCTGAGATACGGTCTCATGAACTATTTGCTCAGGGCTGACTTCCTGACCTCTGCCTTCTGAGTAGCTAGGATTACAGGTGTGAGACACAGGCACCTGGCAAGCTTCTTATATAGAGCCAGGAAGTAAATATTTTAGGTTTTGTGGACTATTTTATATATGGTCTCTGTTGTAGCTGGTTAACTCTGCCATTGTAGGACAAAAGCAGCCATGGCAATATGCAAATAAGTGAAATGTTGATTAGGTTCCAATAAAACTTTACCTTAAAAAAATAAATAAGGGACAGCAGAATTTGGCCTATAGGCTATAGTTTCCTGGCCTCTGACCTAGAAATAATTTCCAGGGAATCTGAATCATGGTTAGTCCTATGTCTGCTTTGCCCTTTCTTCCTTACTCACTTGGAAAGTGAATGGGCTGTAGAATCAGTTTTTCCATATGTAGAGATAGAAAGTAAGAGCATCCACTCTGCTCCTGTCAAATGAAGTCCTACCCAGTTTGTGTTGTTCCAAATACATTTTTCTGTAGTAGTCAGTGATTAATAAGTGGGGCTTCTAAGTTTGAAGTTGAAAGTCCTCTACAAATATTTGATATCTCAAAATATTACAAAAATGGAACTGTACTTAGAATAGTAACAAAATAGTAATAGTTTGTGTGTATTTTGGGCAGAATTCACTCATGTATGCTAACTGAAACCTAACCAGCTCATTCAGAATTTAAAACAACTGCTTGACAAATGGATTTTTGAAACATCTGTTTGAATCTTAGCATTGCCTATTTCCTTTTGTAGTGAGACAGTGTTGTTTTTTAAACAGGTCTCTTATTGAACTCTACTGTCAATGGTGATTCTTTTAAAACCATGGTTTTTAAGTGGAACCTCCTATCAGAGTGCACACACACAGTCGTGGTGCCAGCCTGCCCTTCTCTGAGTTTTCTCATGAATTGTGGCTTTTTATCCATGCTGATGAAAGCAGTAGCTCTCTGCTCCCAAGAAAGCACTTCTTAGGACAGAGCTACGTGAACACTCCTAAAGCAGGGAAGTTTGTTTTTTAAGATCAGGCTCAAACATCAGGGGAAACTGGGGAGCAGAAATGTCCAATAGCCTGGGTGTTTTCCATATAGCATGTGCCCTGCCTTCAAGAAAGCAGTGTGCTTCCTGCTTCCTAGTTTCCATAAAATGGATTTCTATCTACGGAAAGGTTTGGCCCTGATCCACTTGCCTCATGCAAAACATGACTTCCATCATATTCTGGAAGTATGTAATGCAGAGTCTGCAAGCATAAAAGCTGGAATTTAGCCACATGCTCTTATTCTGTAGCCTTGCATTTCAGATGGGTTGTGAGTCTGATTTTAAATCCTCACTCTAGCATTTACTAGGGCGAATACCTTAATCTTACTTTGCCTTACCTGTAAAATGGGAATAATAGTGAGTAAAAATAAATATTCAGTGAGTTTTAATTTTAAAATAATCTAAAATGACATGTAAAAATATGTATGTAGTATGTATAAAAAGGTGTATTGGAGAGGGTGTGTTAAAGCAAGCCTGATGGTAAGCATCTGGTCTTACACATACACACCTCACAGATCTTCCAGTATGGTGACAGTTTTTATTCAGTAATTTAGGAGAATATGCATAAATGAAAAGAAACAAATAGAATACAAAACTTGGGAACAATATTAAGGTAGAATAAACCTTCAAGAAATATACTGCTTTTGCTAGGCACCAGTGGCTCATGCCTGTAATCCTAGCTACTCAGGAGGCAGAGATCAGGAGGATTGCAGTTGGAAACCAACCCAGGCAAATAGTTCAGGAGACTGTCTCAAGTGATAGAACACCTGCCTAGCAAATGTGAGGCCCTGAGTTCAAACCCCAGTACTGCAAAAAAAAATCCTACTTCCAACAGCTAATTTGGGCTTAATGGGCACATTCCCAAAGGGTCTTTATTCACTCTGTTGTTATCCGGACTATTTTAGTGAAAACGTATGAGACTGTTTGGCCTGTCTTTCTAAGGATGTCTTTGAGGACTGAACAACTGCAAGCCATGTTAGTGTTCTTAAAATATATTACTGTCTTATATGATTGAGACTAATCTGAGCTACAAAAACTTTGCCTGACTGTTCTAAGCTCCTAGTGTTATTTTGTGTTTATCTTCAAAAATAAAATGCTTGCCGTTTTGGGATCTTTGTTTCTGTTTTTATTTTTTCCTATTGTTTTTTACTGGGAACTGATCCTAATTGAATTAATTAGGAGCAGTCTTTGTAATAGCTTAATTTTATTTAGGCATTTGAATTTGGTATTAGTGTTCCAATAATCATTATCTGCTCAGATAATGATGATCAAGTGCCTGTTTGTCTTAGAGTCAATGAAGAATGTAAATGGCTGTCCTTTCAAAAACTTAGTGACACTCAGCACCTGAGACTTTGGTTTCTTTACCAATCAGTATATGAAATAAGCTACAGTGGAGACCCCTTTGGCCACAATTGGCCGCTAATCACTTAGGTACCTCCTTCCTCTTTCCTGCTGTTCACCCTTGCAGAAAGTCTAGAGAATGCCCTACATTTTCTAGCTAAAGAGAGAAAGCCAGTGCCCTTCCGTGAGTCAACAATGACACCAAAGCCTAGTCTTTCCTCTACAAAGTTTTTTTGCTGCCCAAGGTGATGTTCTTCCAAGAAACAGGTGTAACTTAGAACAGAGAAAGTAGTGCCTTTTAGTCTTCATGAAACTCTTGAGGTTTCAGGCCAAATGAAACACTGCAATGCAGCAGCACGACCTGGACTTAGGACTTCTGGGTAAATGCTTTTAAGGACTCTTAACTGTTCTGAAAGAACTTCTAAACAACAGAGAAACAAAATTAACTGTTAATTGTAGATTTTAGAAAATACCATTAACATAAACCTGCAAGTCTAGGACACTGTTCCTATTGTGTTTGTGAACCAGATCGAAATATTGCTGTAAGGTTTTTTTTTCTTTCATAGCCTGTTCATTAATGATTTGTCAACATTTTATATTTACTAGTGGATAATGGTATTTTATTTCCCAAGTGTGCTGTAATTTATTATAGCGTATTGTAATTCTTAAAATTAGATAAATTACTTCTCACTGGAAATTTAATAATTTTCTGTATTTCTTCATTTGTGAATTATTTATTCCTTTCTCTTGTTTTTATTTGGATATATTTACTGATTTGTTAGAGATCATTGTGTGTTAAGGATTCTGTGCTTTTGATACAGACTGCAGATATGGCCCAAGTTTGTTTTTCACGTTTACCTCTTTCTGTAGGGTATATAGTGACACTCTTGCCTCTGTCTATGGTTTAACAACTGCTCGTGGCTGCTTTTGATAGTGTAAGTCTAGTCAGTTGCTCATGTTTTCTTGGCCCTTGAGTGTTTTCATTTCCAGTTGATTTTTCCAGGTTTATCCCAAATTATACCAAATCTTAAAAGTTGTTTTGGAGAGTACTGGCATTTTTACAATTCAAAATACAGTTTTTGTCTTTCTTTATTCAGATCATCTGAACTACTTGGGATTATCATTGAAATTTCTTTGTTGCTTTGATAATTTCATGGTTCCTTTAGTGACTTCACACCACACATATTTCTGGTGATGGGTAGTAAAATGTGGTGACTCTTACTCATTTGCTACTCTAGTAAATTGCCTGTTTTCCTTTCTTCCTTGGAGGGAAATGCAAGAAGTTGAGATGTATAAATAACCCAGTAGATTTCAGAGTCATATTCAGTGATTAGCAAGAGAAAATGGCTATTTTTTTTTTTTTAAAGTCTCATTGCTGGGCTTGTGGAATGGCTCAAGTGGTAGAGCGCCAGCCTAGCAAGCATGAGGTGCTGAGTTCAAACCTCAGTACCACCTTAAAAAAAGAAGTCTCATTGCTAAATATTATTACCAAGTGGTTATTTCTGAGTATTCTATTGATACAATCTTTGACTTTCAGGTAGCTTTCTCAGAAATAGAGCTTCTTAATGTGTTTGCACGTACAGGAAAGGATCTGGTTTCTCAGATGGCTAGGTAAGGGATATTATCCCTGAAAGATGAAATACCACTTATCTGAAGAAAAAAGTTGATGGGAAGACATTTATGCTGTTAATAATGATAACATTGTTAGGTCATTTAAAGAGGAACTGAAGCATGTATATCGTTTGTGGAGAGAAACATAGAACATATCAGCGGCTATTTAAATGTGATTAGCATATACCCTATAATCAAAAATCTTTTTTTTCTTAATCGTATCTTATTAAAGCAGATTTGTGAATTTAATTTGCCATTCACATGATTCTCTGCAGGCAGAGGCTCGTCTGCTTGAGGAACAGCGAAGAGTTCAGGTTTATCTTCATGAAAGCACACAAGATGAACTTGCAAGAAAATGTGAACAGGTCCTTATCGAAAAACATTTGGAAATTTTCCACACAGAGTTCCAGAACTTGTTGGATGCTGACAAGAATGAAGGTGAGCGACTAAGCCTCTTAAAATATGATACTTAATTATCTGAAATTTTGAAATTGTAATTCCCGTCTCCAATATCAGCCATTTTTTGAAAAGATGTGTGTGGATCTTGTATGTTGATTTCAGATTTCTGTGGAGTGTTTTATGTTTTGGGTATGACTTTGGAGAAAGGTCATCTTTTCAGTTTAATTTGGAATATAACTTGTTCCATACACTTGTGATAATCATTTACTCATAATTTTTTTCTTGAGTATTCTTTTCAAAGTTCTCTGAGGGTTGAAGGCATGGCTCAAAAGCAGTACAGTCCCTACCTTGCAAGTGGGAAGCTCTGATTTCAAACCTTGGCACCATCCCACCCTCCCCCTCTAAAAAAAAGTTCTCTGAGATAAGATTGTTGTTTTGTATTTCCCTTAGCCTCTCCCATATGTTACAAATTTGGGGGGACCCTTTTGTGACTTGTTATTCTCCTTAAATTTATTTATTTTTCAAAATAAATATTTGAATACTTATTATGTCTCAAGTATAAATAATATCACAATCTTGCAGATTTTAGGAAGCATTAAATGCAGTTTCCAATTTTAAAAAACTTCTTTATTCTTATGTTAGTGGATTCTCATAATAAAGGGGGAAATCAACTTTTTTAATACTCTAACTTCACTGTTGCTTTTAGAAGAATTTAACCAAGTAAAAAATGTGTTAAAATTATGCTTTTGGTTATCAAAATCCAAAACAGCTGTCTTATTTCAGAGTATCTTTTTTCTCAGTATAAATACATAGTCAAGTAGATATGTAGCATTTGTTTCCATGCATAAAAGTGCTCATCTTCTTTCAGATTTGGGCCGCATGTATAACCTTGTATCTAGAATCCAGGATGGCCTTGGAGAACTGAAAAAACTTCTGGAGACGCACATTCATAATCAGGGTCTTGCCGCAATCGAGAAGTGTGGAGAAGCTGCTTTAAATGTAAGTAATACTTGGCTTGAAAACCAGGTAGACCTCACTGTTTTCACACACCAACTGCAGGCAAGTGTTGTGCTTCTCCATGTATGAATGCAAGTGCTTGAGATCGTACTAAAGCTCTCGCAGAAAACTTGTTTTGGGTTTTTATAGAGTTGAAAGTTGACAAACATCGTTTAGCAAATATCTCAATAAATCATTCTCTGACGCCTTTTAAGCATTAAGGATGTCAATATATTTTTTCCCCATTTATAGCTTTTCACTGTTCCTGACTGCCTCCCTAGAAAGAAAAACTCCTAGAAACTTTTGCTCGGCCCCCTATAGCCTAAGTTGTGCTTCTCAAGAACTTCGATCTGAGTAGTAACCCAAGCCATATAATTCTCCAAAACCCAGGTGTTATACTGAAAAGAAGCAACAGAAAAAAAAGATTTTTGATACGAAATTTTTGATAGGATTTAATTACTTTGAGAGGGTTTTTGTTTTTTTTTTTTTTGGCAGCACTGGGGTTTGAACTTGGCCTCATGCTTGCTAGGCAGGCGCTCTACCCCATGAGCTCTCCCCAGCCCTGCCTTATGTTATACCCAGAGTGTTCTGTATTCAATAAACTGCCGGAGAGATCCAAACCAAGTTTCTTGTGTATCTGGTCATCCTATGATTACATGTGTGTACCTATTAATTGGTCAGAAAACCAGTTTTACTGCTAGTGTGTGACCTGGATGGACGTTATTACAGGTTTTATTTTTCAAAATGTGTTTCAAACAGTATTTTTAGTGGTTGGATGTCTTTTTTTCTTCCTTCTTTTCTGAGGCTTTTTAAGGTAAAACCTTTCAAAAGGAAAGGCTGTTTCTGAGGAATAGGCTCAGGGAGTTTCCCAAGGTTCCTCCCTCCTGGCACCTGATGAAAGGTGGCAGCACTTCTTAGTGCAGTGTGGTTGAAAGAAGAGCCGTGCAAACATGTGCTGTTTTTAGATGTGCTGTGCCTGGCCAGACACTGTGCCAATACTACTTTGGGAATGTCAGCCTTACCTTCCTCCGGGCTCCCTGTGGACAAGAGGCCCTCCTGGTTGCATGATGCAGAGGTGAATCAGTATGGGTCTGACCCACCCACCTAGCACAAAATCCCAGTGTGTTTGAAGAGCCCCCTCCAGCCTCAGAGAGCTTCATGCTCAGGGACATTCGTGCCCCACTGCTGAGCTGGAGGACAAATGACCTTCCTGCAGCAGAGCACCAGGATTTGAGGAGCCTTGTACACAAAGAGGTATTTAGGGAGGCAGAAGAAATAATAATTTTTAATAGGCAAGTTTTATCCCAGACTTGGCTTTCAGGTTGAAAAGGGAGTAGGGCAGCAAGGTCATTAGCATCTTTTGCCTGGCATGACAGTTTACATTTTTTGGAAGTCAAAACCTTGAAAGATCTTGTGAGCCTTCATTGATGGGCCAAGCACATTGTGTTCGTAGTTGGCAGCATGGTTAACACTCATAGAAAAGTCATCTGTATTGACATCTGGGAAGAGGGTAGGCTTCATTTCATACATGTGGGGAGCACTTTAACAGCAGAGACCATGCCTTCATGTTTTCAGTTAAAAATGAATTGAGCTGGGCCACATCTGTAATCCTAGCTACTAGGGAGACTGTGCTCAGGAGAATCGTTGTTCCAGGCCAACCTGGGCAAAGTGTAAATAGAAGGGTCACAGTCCAGGGCAGCTTGGGCATAAATGCGAGACCCTCTCACAAAAATAACTAAAACCAACAGGATTGAGGGTATGGCTCAAGAAATAGAGTGCCTGCCTACTGAGCACAAGGTCCTGAGTTCAAAACCTTAATTCTGCCTCCTTCCCCCCCAAAAAGAAGAATTGAATGCCACTTTATATCTGGCCCTGTTATAGATTCTTAATTTTTTTTTAATCTACCAAAATAACTGACTATGTAACTGTCTATATGATGCTGGTTGATATTATAACCCAGACCTAACAAATGTTGCAGATAAAATCTAAAAAGATATTTTCATTCTTCAACAAACACTATGGCATTTCTATAGTAGTGTTTTTACTTTCTTTTCTCCTTTTTTTTTTTTTTTAATAGTACTGGGGGTTAATCTCGGGGCCTTGTGCTTGCTAGACAAGTGCTGTTATCACTTGAGCCATACCTCCTACCATTTTTGCTTTAGTTTTTTGTTTGTTTGTGTGTTTTCCCAGATAGGGTCTTGTGCTTGTGCCCAGGCTGGCCATGTGATCCTGTTATCTCCATCTAGGCATGTGTTGGAGGTAACTGAACTCAGGGCCTACACCTTAAGCTACTCTGCTAGCCCTTTTTTTGTGATGGATTTTTTCAAGATAGGGTCTCGTGAACTATTTGCCCGGGCTGGCTTCAAACCGCGATCCTCCTGATTTCTGCCTCCTGAGCAGCTAAGATTACAGGCATGAGCCACTGATGCCCAACCATTGTATTTATTTACTTACTTAAAGATGAGATCTTACTATGTTGCAGAGACTGGACTCAAACTCCTAGGTTCAAAACAATCCTCCAGCCTCAGCTTCCCAAGTGGTGGGACTATAGATGCACACCACTGTACCTGGCTGGCCTGGAAGTGTGGCTCAAGTGGTAGAGCTCCTGCCTAGTATGCATGAGGCCCTGAGTTAAAAAAAAAAACTCCAGTAACCCCCCCAAAAAGGGGAAAATAGCACTGCACCTGGCTAAAAAGTTAAAAAAAAAAAAAAGAAAGGAAATTTACAGGTTGGGATTAGGTGGATATTGGACAGAAGAAATAGTTGTTTTGGAACAAAGGAAGTACAGTTTTTGTAAGCAAGTCAAACTGACAAATGAAACATACCTGTTACAGAAAGAAATGATACATGTTGAAAATATAAGTTGGTTCCAATAGCAAATAGCTAACTTTGTGAATATAGCTTCTTAACTCCAAGGTAACATGAATGGTTTTATTTATTTTATCTTGTTATGGGATGAATAAACATTTTCTCTAAAAGAAAAATAGCACAGTTGTGTTTTGAGTCTAATATGGCCAGGATATCATTTTATACCCAGGATATACCTTTCTTTCAACAGAAGGCAAGACAATCCTTCTACAAGCAAACTCATTAGGAAGCATGTCCCTGCCCAAATCAGTCTTTATACTACATCTAACATTACTTACATTTACATATTAACAAGTCCTGAAATGACCCCGATGGGCTTAAGGCCAATTAGATATTCCACCTATGGACTTCTCTCTCCCCTCCTGTCCTTACTGAGATGGACAGCTCTGCTCCCTCCCTTCCTACACTCAACTCCTGCTTCAGACCTAATATAATTATTCCTTTCTGAAACATACTCACTGATGAGTCTCAACTCATTTTCCTCAGAGAATCCAGTTTTTCCTGTCCATTCTCACTTAATTCTGTCTCAAAATTCAATGTTTTTACCTCTGGTTGCTCAGCTCCTGAATCTAGTCATCTTAGAGCCTCAGTATTTGAAGGCTGAGGAAAGACTTCACCTACCTGGGATTGGAGGAAAATGCAGGTGTGAGCCAGAATCTAACAGTCTAACATAGTGAGGTCCAAAGTCAAAATGGAAGCCCACAGGAGATTGCCAGGGATCAGAAATTGGTAAAGTTTATCAGAATTCAGAGGCAGTGTTTGAAAAATTTATTAATTACGGTTTGAGACTATGGTCACATTGTAAATATAAATGAAGCAAAAAATAGCATATAGAGCTTAAAGTTTGAACTCATGGCCTCATGCCAGGCACCCTACCACTTTAGCCTCTCTGCCAGCCCGGTTTTGTGTTTGGTATTTTCAAGATAGGGTCTCTCTTTTTTTTTTTTGTGGCACTGGGGTTTGAACTCAGGGCCTCACCCTTGATAGGTAGACACTCTACCACTTGAGCCACTCCATCGGCCCTTTTTTGTGATCTGGTTTTTCAAGATAAGATCTCATGAACTATTTGCCTGGACTGGCTTCAAACCACAATCCTCCTGATCTCTGTCTCCTGAGTAGCTAGGATTACAAATGTGAGCCATCACCACCCAACTCCAGTTTTTTAATTTTTTGGGTTTTTTTTGCCAATATCAAAATCAGTTTAGTATCCCTGAATACAGGCAGTGGCATGGGGGAAGGGCAACTTCAGAAACATTGTGAGCGAGCGATAGGAAAGTCAGTCCTGGCAAATGTTCCCATAGACCACTGCCAGTGGGCAATCTGCATGCATGTGTTTCTCCCTCATTCACAGTTTGTCATTGCTTTTATTTATGCATATGTTGTTTAAAACTTTGGCTTCTTTTTTTTTTTTTTCTTTTTCTCTTTTCTAAGGTAGGGTATCTACATAGCCCAGGCCAGCCTCAAACTCAAAATCATCCTATCTCAGCCTGTTGAGTGCTAGGATTACAGGTGTGTGCTCCCATACAAGTTCTCCTTGTTTTATATGGAGATAAAGTTATACACAGACCAGGTGTTTATGGGAATGATTATACTGCTCCCCACTGATTGTGTGATGTGTTTGTTTACTTCGTGAAGCTTCATTTCTTTTCCCTGACTTCTTAAAGAAAAATTGTCTAGATGTAAGGATTGTGGACAATGTTGAGCAAGGCCTCCTTGTGTCCTGTGGTGAATCTTTCAATGTTGTTGACTAAGTGTCCTCAGAGAACTCTTAAAACTATGTGATGATCTGCTTTTACTGGACCTTGGCTGGACGAAATATGTAGATAATAAATGTGTTCTCCACGATGGCTGCTGGCAGTATTCCTGGATTGAACTGAGTCATTGGGAAGTTATGTGAGTATTACTTAGGATCACAACCAATGCTCAGAAACCATATTGACTATATCCAGACTCTACATGAGAAAAGCCATAGAACCTCTTTATGTGCCTTTCTTGGTTTACCTTTTTAAGGGTTTGTAAGACAGAAAAGTTAATGTAAGACCAGCAAGAAAGGCAGCCATCAGCAGTGAGTCACGGGTGTGATCTGAATTGCAGTGGAATGGGGCATTGTATTGGATGGTGGGGGGTAGAGGGCATAGCGTGTCTTATGAGTTAAGGAGAAATTTTCCCTGAAAAATGTTGATACTGAGAGAAAACCTAAATTAGCTAGGAAAAGGGGATCTCAGACAGGCACATGTCCATTCTAAGAATTAATAAGCTAGATGTGACTTGAGAAGGTAAGACTGAAAGGGTGGGGATGGCCAGCCAGACCCTGGGAGACCTTGGAAGGATGTTAATTATGTTGGCTTAAACCTGGGGGAAGGGGGAAGACAGGTAAGGGTATTGTAATTAGATTGTTATTTTCAAAAAATTGCTACCATGTGGAAAAAGGATTAAAAGGGAAAAGAGTTAACCAAGCACTGGTGGCCTGTAAACCTAGCTACTCAGGAAGCAGAGATCAGGAGGATCATGGTTTGAAACCAACCCCGGGCAAATAGCTTGTGAGACCCTGTCTCAAAAATACCCAACACAAAAGAAGGGTTTGTGGAGTGGTTCAAGTAGTAGAGTGCCTGGCTAACAAGTGTGAGGCCCTGCATTCAAACCTCAGTGCCCTTCCCACCCCGCAACCCCCTGCCCCCTGAAAAAAAGAGTTGCTATACCAGCGAGGTTTGTTACAGTGACAGTGGCCTACTGTACCCTGTGACTGGCTGACAGTGATAGAGCAAGAGTCAGGTGGGCTTCATAGTGAACAGGTTTTATATTTGATAGTTGTTGAAGCTGGCTGATGAGTACTGTTCTAGAAAGAACAGTAAAATTTTGAATGTTAAAGTTTTTCTGCAATAAGAAATGGACAGGTAGTGGTGATCAAGTGGACGCTGGAAAGGAGAAAGCTGGGTTGTCTGGAGTGAGTGGTGGCACTTATGGATCCTGAAGAGATGCAGAGTTAGGACATCAGGTCACTTCTGACACACCCAGTTTGGGGTCCCAGGAAGACCTTCCAGGGTAGGTTGTGCAAGCTCAGTGGGGACTTTGGTCTTAGAGGTAAACATGTCAGTCATTGGCATATACCTGTTGACATCATAGGAGTTTTGGATGAAATCCCTTGGGGCAAGCCCTGAGTGGTGTTGTGGTTCTTATATGCAAAAATCTGCCATGTGCTGCTGAATAAACAGATGGTTATGAATCAAACCCATTACTACTCTGTTCATGTATCAAAACCTCAAAAATTTCATTTTCTAATCCCCAGCACTACCCATAAAAAAGGAAAGAAAATTTCATTTTCTTAAAAAAAAAGTACATGGGATCACTGATCTTTTTCCTCTCTCCTTACCTCTGTTGCTTTATATCCTGGCCTCTCCCTATAATCCAGTGCCCTCTGAAGCACTTCTGAAAGATCAAAAGATGCTCATCCTTTGACTGTCTTTTCTGTTTGACACTATTGACTGCTTTCTTAAAATTCTCTCTTCTATTCTTTCCATGTGTTCCTAACTCTTTCTGCCCCTTGCCAGGGTAGTCCTAAATGTCTTCTCTCTGGACCTCACAGTCTCAGTTCACATATCCAAGGCCCAGTGTTTTGTCAGACTCTGTCTTGTGGGTTCCAGTCAAATCCTACCTCCCCAGAGAGCCTTTCTGCTGGGTCTTCTGTAATACAGAGCATCTTGGGGTCTGAAGACTGCTTTACTCTTGCTGAAGGTTTGCCTTGTCATGTGGGAATTCCTTCTGGGCACTTCTTGGGAAATTTATGTGTTTCCAACTCCTGAATCTGATAAAATTAGTTTTAACAATTTGAGAAGACAGGAAAAAGCATAATTCTCCTCAAACATAATAGTAAACATAGAGTCATTGTTGGTTTCAAGAAATCCATGTATTGCAAGTCAAGGGCCAGAGCACGGCATGCCGATGCATGGAGTCCGAAGGTTAAAGTTGGCATTTCTGTGAAGTATAGCCAGAGCACACGGTGGGGCTGAGCAGGCACCTTCTGTGCATAATGCCTCATGAGTGTAGATTTGTGAGCCATTCTTCAAATAAAACAAATATTAATGTGTTCATGTACACACCATATGTTATATGAATCCTATGAGTGGTACTCCAAAAAATAATCAAGTTTTAGAGGCAAATGCAATCCTTAAATTGACTGTTTTGACTTGCGGTTCTTTGTGATGCTGTTAGCCTTCTTAAGAATCTGAGACTTACTCAACTGCTACCTGGTAATGTTGCCTGGCATTTCCCTGTGTTAGGATGCTTGGCCAGGCTAGAGAGCTTTGTAAGTGCCGTGACAGAAGAAATGCAAAGGGAGGATTATGGGACTGTTGTAGAATACCTTGATACGAAATCAGAAAGGAACCTAAAATCCACTTGGCCAAAGCAATATGGATTTTAATGGTAAGCTTGAGGCCATCCTAACAAGACCCTATCTCAAACACAAAACCAAACCAAAAAGAATGTTACCATCAAGGCAACATAGAAGAAGTTTCTCTACACCTGGAATAGTTGTCATGAACAAAGGGCAAGATTATCTGATATAAGATGGGTAATTTTTATATATCAGATACCCACAGTGCCCATCTTCCCATTTAATTTCCGTTATGTTGTCCCTTTGTCTGGAGATTCCCCATTGCCTGTCAAGTCCCCAGTGCAAGTCTTGGACTCGCCCACACAGTTGTCCTTGTAAGTCAACTTGTACTCAAACCTCCCTGCCCACACTTAGATCTGCTGTCCTTCTGACCAAGCCAATGTTATTCAGAGTCACCTACCCTGCTGAGTTCCAGATTACTGATCACTGGCTGCTTTGTTTCTCTAGCCAAAGCAAAGTCCAGAATTTGAGCCACACCCCCAGCCCTAGAATTTGAAATTGTTTGTTTATATATTTAGGCAGTGCTGGGGTTTGAACTTAGGGCCTCATGCTTGCTAGGTAGGCACTCTACCACTCGAGCCACTCTACCAGCCTGAACAAAAAATTGGTTAAGCAGGGCAGTCACTTTGAAAATTGTATTTTCAAGACCCCTTTGCGTTTTTGCTGTTTTGAATATAGGCTTGAAGTCAATATTTAATTTTGAACATAGAATATAAACAATGCTAGATAGGTTTCAATGGTAGAACCAAAGACATTTCTGATTTTATTCTTTAACTTCTTTGAAGATGTATCTAAACCTTTAACATTCTATATTGACACATTAGTGTACAATTTAATTCCCAATAGCTAACTTGTTTCTGTTTTGTCCTCTGTACTTAAGGATCCCAAAATGTATGTGCAGACGGTGCTGGACGTTCATAAGAAGTACAACGCTCTGGTGATGTCAGCCTTCAATAACGACGCTGGCTTTGTGGCTGCACTCGACAAGGTGTGTGTACTTCCATCACAGTGTTTCTGAAGTATATTTGGATAGGACATTTCCCCTAACTGTCTTTTGTACAACACAGGCTTGTGGTCGCTTCATAAACAACAACGCGGTTACCAAAATGGCTCAGTCATCCAGTAAATCCCCAGAGTTGCTCGCCCGGTACTGTGACTCTTTACTGAAGAAAAGGTATAGACAGTTTTGTGGGTTTGTTTGTTTTTTTATGCCTTCCTAATATCTCAGCTTTTATAGAAGGAATTGCAATTCACATTACATTTTTTCTACATTAAGCTGCAATTTTTGTCTCTCTTTGAGAAAATACATCACGTTTCTAGTTGAAAGTCTGCATTAGCTTTCACGAGCTGTTCGTCATAAGCAGAAGATTGTGCGACAGTACTTGCTACCCTACCTACTTTACAAATGTATTTTTATTTGATGAGCTTCTTGTGTTGCTGTTTTTTGTTCTTTTTTAAAATCTTCTTTCTCATCTGATATGTTTGCTAATCTACTTGCATGTGTTCGGAGCTGGCAACAGTGTAGTCAGAGGTGGCGCCCTACTCTCCTTGCAAGTGTGTCCTGGTTTCCCTCAGCCTCTTCCCTTCCACAGTTTCTTCCACTTCTTAAGTGCCCAAAGTTTGTCCATTTAAATGCCACATCAGCAAATGCTGAAGACTTTAAGGGAGACAGTCCCCTTCTGGCTTTCTGTCATACTAGTTTCCCGTACCTCCAAATTGTACAGGTTCTGAGTCCAGTAAATTGTATTTTAAACACATCTTTTAAGGGAGCATAATCCTGTTGCAGGAAAGACTAAGAATGCATACACATACCAGCATAAAGAGACCACAGACAAGTCTCCTCTAAAAAGAGAGTTACAGAAATCTTGAGCAAAATGTTAACAAACCAGATTGATCAGTAAACTAAAGAATAAGTCTTCAGCCTAGCATGTGTAGCTTCCTAGGAGCAGCTCAGCATATTGCTGAATAATGAATTACAGTGGACAGCTCTGTGGCCTTCTTGGTAGATGGTGGAATGCATGTGGCAAAGGGCAATAGCTAGCTCTCCTTTAAAAATTATTTTTTCATAGTTGTCTCTTTTAATGTTGCCAGTAAGCCATTCCCCCAAGACCAGTGAGAACTTTAGTATTTGATTATTTTTGTTTGTTGTCATGCTGGTCCTTTGTATTATTTAGTGATTCTAGTAAGATGCACTAATGTATTCTTTCTAAGAATGAAAAAGGACTTTAAATTGGAATGTCTTTAATGACTTAATGTCACTTTTTTAGGCTGTTGTGATATAATTAAGTACTTTCAATACATAGATGGTCTGTGAGGTCTTTGATTGTTTGACAGACTATTCAGTGTCCTTTCTACCCATTGTCTTTTTGAACGGCCCAAATCAAGTCTGTGGTGTATTATCAACTAGGGCTGCTGAGACAGGGCAGCACAGGCACATGATGGTGACTGGCATCAGTGGGCACTGAGTGAGCCAGCATGCAGCCCTGGGCCCAGGAGAGGGAAACTGCTTGACCTGTCAGTGAAGAACAGGGCTGCATTTCTCAGCTAAACTGCTCTGGAGTTAGAAACATCTCTTCAGACCTTGCTTGATAGCTCTTTATTTTACAGTGAATTAAGGGATTATGTTTATAAAGGACTCTTCTAAAAGGTCTTTGAAAAATTGATTTACCCTTAATTCACCTTTGATTACTGTTTGTCCATAGAAGAATGAATGAGCCCTTGAAGGACAATCATCTGTTTTATACATGTTACTACAAACGGAAGGTAACACTTCAGTCCTGGCTCAAGCCCTTCCATTATCCTTAATTATTAGACCATTAAAGGAAACTATGTGCCTTTTTATTTTTTTGAAGTTCTAACTGGCTGTAGAAAGGAATTGGGAAAGAGAAGTTCATTTACTAATACTTAAGTGGAGTATCTTAACGAGAAATGTCGTTCATGATGTTTCTGGAAGCTTTCATGAACATCTTCTGTTGGTTGTCATCTTAGACACTCTAAATGACTGTTTTGCAGTCTGTTCTTCTCTGATGGGCTTTTGTGTGAGATTGCCAAATTGCTGTAGGTGGAGAAAGTTAACCTTCCATCACCCATGGAGTGATCTGAGGAGATTGGATCACTTGAATGCTTGAAGCCACACTCCAGCGTGGCAGTTTGGCCAAGTGTACTTGTGTAAATGTCTGCTTATTTGTTTTTACAACACTGCCTTTTTAAAATTTCAGTTCCAAAAACCCAGAAGAGGCAGAACTAGAAGACACGCTCAATCAAGTGGTAAGGTGCTTCACAACCACATCTGTTTCCATAGCTGTTTATTCCATAAGTTTGAAAGGCTGTTTCTACAGGACGTCTGCAGTGTGAAAAGTCATAGTCATGATTTTATTTTGAATCTAATTTTTTTTTGCTCCATAAATTGAGTCTCTGCTTTCAGCATTGGTACTTCCCTTTGGTTCTAAGTCTAGTTCAGCTCACTGCAATTTGAGGGTTAGAGGGTAATGTCTACTGTGAACACTCTGGGGCACACAGGTGCAGCCAAAACCAAGCACACCTTGGCTCCTGGCATGTGGCCAGTGTCAGCTGGCTTGCGAGTGTGCTTCATTCATGTGTCCTCTCGGTGGCTTTGCCAGATGGTTGTCTTCAAGTACATAGAGGACAAAGATGTGTTTCAGAAGTTCTATGCAAAGATGCTGGCCAAGAGACTTGTACATCAGAATAGTGCAAGTGATGATGCTGAAGCAAGCATGATCTCCAAGTTAAAGGTGAGTTTCTTCTTTTCCTGGAAAACTCCAGCTCCTTAGGCCTTATGAATATGCTTGTTAGTTTGTCAGGGTTATCAGTGGGCATAGCAGTTTGTATAGTGCAAGCTCTGCCACTCCACTGCTGAAAACCTGTCATGCTATTAAGTGAGCCCAAGTTGACTTTGAGTGGTTTCAGTGTTGTTTTGCTCAAGGTTTAGCTAACTTGTCTGCAAGAGGACAGGTGCCATCAGTGTTTCTTTCCTACTGACTTGTTCTTCTTTATTCTTTATTCTTTATTATTCCGCCTCCTTTGCACTCATCCTGTGTATGTTTTAGTGCTTGCCAGCCTGTCAAATGCTGTTAAATGTCTTAGAGTGTGTTTCATTTGACCTAGAATTAGTTAGTGGCTGTCTCAGCCTGCTCAGGCTGCCAAAACAAAGTATGCTGGAACAGGTGACTCAAACAATAAAAACTGAGTTCCACAGTTCTGGAGGTAAGAAGCCCAAGATCAGTGCTGGCCGACTTGAGTCCTGCTGGGGCTTCTTCCTGGCTTCCAGACAGCCGCCTCCTTGTTGTGCCCTCAACCGGGAAGAGCGCGCATTCGTAGGGCTGTCTTAGTCTCTCTTAACAAGACACCAATCCCATCGTGAGAGCCCTGCTCTTACGAATCTTCAGGGGCTCAAATCCAAGTGCCTTCACAGCAGAGGTTCAGGCTTCGCCACATACATTCTGTCAGGGAACTACTGAGTGCAGTTTATAGTAGTAGGATAAGAGACAGTTACTTCTTTGTATTCTGCCCTAGTGATAGAACACCTTGCTCTTAAGTGCTCAAATAATGATTATTGTTTGTTCAGCTTGTAATTATCTTACTTTTTGTAATATGCTAGTTTTTAAAATACATACAGATGGCATAAAATATAACTAAATGTTACTAAATTCAGTAGTAGTTTCATACAATTAAATATGTGTATTGTACTGTGATTGCTTTAAGATTCCCTTGGATATATGTATGTTTTTGTACAAATTATTAAAAGTTCTCTGGATTCATTTCAGCAAGCTTGTGGTTTTGAGTATACCTCCAAACTTCAGCGCATGTTTCAAGATATTGGTGTAAGCAAAGATTTGAATGAACAGTTCAAAAAGCACCTGACGAATTCAGAACCACTGGACTGTGAGTATCAAGCACTCATGAGGTGCTTCAGGGTTCTTCGGAGTAGATGAGAGAAGTAACAGAATATTAAGGGTGGTAGATGTTCTGTCAGAAATTCAAAGACTAAGCTGCAGGAAGTTCCTCCCAAATGCCCCTCCCTCCTCCTCCTGACTCCCAAAGGGTATGTTAGATGCCAGCCTTTGCCAGGGCAAAGTCTCGCCCAGTGTCCTTGAGTTTGGGATTATTGTGTGGGAGGTGGGAGGCCCACAGGTGACTTGCATCTAGGTCCTAAGCTCATACTTCTTCTGCTTGCTGACCACTTGCCCCAAACACATGACTGATGCATGGGCTTGCTTTTTCTTACTGTGCTTTGATCTTTAGTTTGAATCCATTCTAGATTTTTCTTTTTAATTAAAAGAAACTCATTTGGCTATAGAGATTGAGATTCAAACTGATGACTGTGACTTTGGGTTTGAGTCAGTATCAGTATGGTCTGGGTGCAGGTGATACATTTCCTTAATGAGGTAGTAAAGTCTGGTATTTTAAGGTCTGGCAGTAATAATGGAATGACAGGTGTTTGATGATATCATCATATGATAATTCTTTTGTCTTTTGAACATGAAATGGGAGTTTTATTCTTTCCAGATTTGAAGTGCTATCTCATTGTTAAATTTGACAATTTTGTCAGTAGACTTCTCACTTATCTGTTAAGATAAAAATATTGTGCTAATTCATAGGTTATGGGTGTCTATATTGTCTCTCTCTTTTTTTTTTTTTTTTTTTTTGTGGGCGGTATTAGGGTTTGAACCCAGGGCCTTGCACTTACTAGGCAGGTGCTCTACCACTTGAGGCACACCCCAGGCTTTGTGTGTCTTTTAGTGGCACACAAACTATGATGAAGTTAGTGTTTACTTCTGAGCTAAAAAGTGTCCTTGTGTTTAGGGTTGTTGTATCATGCCTAGTCACCATGCATGTGGCTTGATTCAGCTGAGTTATCCACAACAGAACACTAAAGTGAATGAAGCAAAATAGCATAGGGTGTCATGGCTGTGCTTTGACAGTAAAATGGAAAACTCTGGAGGAAAGCAATTTCCTATATCTGAAGTGATGGAATTTTTCAGTGTATAAGACTAATTAAATATCTTCCTAAATCCTTTCCATCTCCTGCCCCCAGTGGATTTCAGTATTCAAGTCCTGAGTTCTGGATCGTGGCCCTTCCAGCAGTCCTGCACATTCGCCTTGCCATCTGAGGTAAGGGTGGCTTTGTCCCCTGGTCTGTGTCAGGCTGAGTAAAGATGGAAACAGGCAGCCTGCCCATTCATGGCCGTGGCCTCTGCGGAAGCCTTCCTGCTGAGTGGCTACATCGTGCTAAGCAGCCAGTGCAGCCATGGAGAGTAATGTGGAGTGTAGCTGGGTTGGGTTGGTTAGCCAGACTGGTGGCTCCTGTCTGAGCCAGCTGAGCAGGTTTATGTACTCTTAGAAAGTAGGACCTAACTGGTTCCATAACGAACACTTGATGCACCTATTGGTGCAACCTGTTGGATTGTACCCTCTGTTGACCTGTAGTCACCATAGTGACTGCCTATGGTGCTATAAGGCAGTTGCACCCCTGGCTTGTGTATTTCACTTCTCTGGAAGCACTGATTTTGTACTGTAAAGTTAGGGCAGGTTGCTTTATTTAGAATTGCTGACTATAGAACGTGGGGAGCTGTGGAGTCCACATAACCCTGTCTTTTTATCCAGTTGGAGCGCAGTTATCAGAGATTCACGGCTTTCTATGCCAGCCGCCACAGTGGCAGAAAATTGACATGGTTGTACCAGTTATCCAAAGGAGAATTGGTGACGAACTGCTTCAAAAACAGATACACTTTGCAGGTAAGATCACCTTTTCATTTTGAGAAAAAATTTAATTCTAAATGTGGCAGAATCTGGAATTAAATAACCTGCTGGTGAATCAGAGGACAAAGCACTGTTGTCATGGTCAGAGGAGCTGAGCACCAATTGTGAATGAGGCACTCATTTCCCAAAGCCCTGTGAAAGGACATGGGTAGTGTCTTTCATTAGTGTTTGGCATAGCTCGTGTCTTGAACACATTAGATGTTGGGTGGTATCTTAAAAAGCTGGCACTGCATGTCGTTAGGTATGACATTTCTTTTCCTTTGACAGCATTTTTAATAATAACTCTTAGTGCTCATAGCAGTACAGAGTGCCAAACAATAATAACTGTGGGAATAATCAAATTTCTCATTTGTAGATAAGAAAACTGAGGTCCAGGTAATTTAAGTGACTTTTCTGCATCTTAGCTTCTACTTCAACTTTTGTACATGGTAGCCTTCACAAGTAACTGCTTGCTTAATCTCTGAGAAGGATTCTCTGGAAAACTTGTTAGAGACAGTTTTAAGTCTCTCAGTGTTAAGAAACTTCAGGATGGGTTCTGGAGGCTCAAGCTGCCCATTCATCTAAACTTTCAGTAATTCTTTTCTAATTAAAGGAGTCAATGTGCACAATACTTTGTTCCACAGGGTACAAAGTGGTTTGTCAACTTGAGTGCATGTTACCATACAACTGAAATTTTGTTTCACAAATACACATAGACAATAGGACTGTGCCATGTGCCAGACAGAAGCTTAGCACAGAGTACTCCTGCTGTGTTAAAGATAGCCAAGAGTGAGCACAGTATAAAATATGTAACATGTTCCTTCCTTGCCCTGGTATTTTGAGTTAAGGCAGGAACAAATAGTGCACTTTTCCCAAGTTTTTCTTTGATTCTTTTAAGACATTTTGCACCAACTTTATTGAGATCATTTGCATACAATAAAAGGCATGCATTTTAAGCATACAGTTTGCATTATCACAGATGTATACACTATGTAATCACCACTAAGACAGAAATGTGTCTTATTTTTGGTCACTGCCATTAGAAATGAAGGTTGTAATTAGTTGTTTTTACAGGCATTCTAGTCACCATCTTCTGAATAGTATTGCAGAAGCTTTTTTAAAGAATATTGCTCTTGGGTCATCTTCTGACTGGCATCCTTAAGCCAGCCAGAAACACTGTGTGAGGTAGTCCAAAACAGGCATCCGTGTCACAGTTTATTTCTCTTTGCATTGGCCACAGTCTTGCCTAGGCCAGCAGTGATGGCGCTGGCTCATTACTTGTTGCCATGGATCACGCAGGAGAACGGAGGGGGGCGCGATCCTGGGGCGATGGGGTGATTGAGCCAACACGTGCTGCCTGGTGCACGCTCTGTAAGACACCTGAAGCCACCACGTTGTACTTTAAAGCCATGTAGTACTTTTTTTTTTTTAATGGTTGTGCTGAAGTTTCAACTCAGGGCTTGCTAAGCTCTCTACCACTTGATCTACCCCTTCCCAGCCCCCCACCAGCCCTTTTTGCTTTAGTTTGCTTTTTAGATAGGGTCTTGCACAGCCAGCTTCAGACCTCGATCCTCCTACTGCTGCCTCCCAAAGTAGCTGAGATTACAGGCATGTACCACCACACCTGGCTTGTGTTTTTTGGGGGGAGTGGGGATTGCCCTGTTCTTTTGACTGGGCTGGCCTCAGATCACCATCTTCCTATCTCCACTCCCCGAGTAGATGGAATTACACCCAGCCCATTTTCTTGTTTTTCACTTAACTTTTTTCTACATTTATAGTAAAGTACTTAGAATAAAAAACATGCAATAAAATTTAACATGAAGGTTGTTTTATGCCATTAATGTGCCCAAAGACAATTTTCCTTCACAAGTGTGCAAAAACAAGTACGAAGGCTTATGCTTAGTGTCTATACGAGGTATGTGTGTGTGTTTATATGAGTGTGATGCATACATAGTGGATATTTACGTAGATAACTATGTAAGGTGGGAAATGGCTTGTCTTTGAGGAAAGTGCGTTATGGCGGTTCTCCAGCACTTTGTTCCCTTCTAAATGCATCTGCCTTAGTATTTGCATCTGTGTGAACAGTGCCGGCTGTGTTTTTGTGTTTTCCCCATGGATTGAAGTTTTTCTTCTTTTGTCTTTTATATGGGGGTCTCCAAGGCATCCACATTCCAGATGGCAATCTTGCTTCAATACAACACAGAAGATGTCTACACCGTGCAGCAGCTGACGGATAGCACTCAAATTAAAATGGTACTCCTCATTTCCATCTGCTGTATCGGGCTGCCATGTCCTTGTTCTTGTGACAATGTAGGAAGCCACAAGGAAAGGACATGGGTGTCTTTGAACAGAAGTAGATACTTGCCTTGTGAATGTGAACGCACTCTATTGTGGAAAAACCTGGTTCCAGTGTGTGACCCACGAGGTGCCAGGAGACTTAAGAGGCTACGAGCTGGACAGCACAGTACAACTGACGGGGCCCACGGACAGAAGTGTATCTTAGGTGACAATGAGACCAGTGGGTCTCGCGATTTGGGTCAGAAGTATGGGTCAGGACAAGAGTGATTCCACCCACGCCAGTGTCCCTGGCTTTCTCAAACTAATATCGAGGATGTCAGGCACACTCAGCACCAGGATCTTCACGTGCCACTGGAATGGCTTTGTCTATTTATGGTTTGTTGAGAAGCTTTCTGAGAAAACAGACCCGACAGAGTGCCTCTTTGGCGGTCAAGCTAAATGCCTACTTGTTTTTAATAACATGCTACAGAATAACTTTCTCTCTCTTACACACACACACACACTCACTAACATGCTTCTCTCACATTTATTGAACCAGTTTTTGTTTTTGTTTTGTTTTGAGACAGGATCTCACTATGTTTCCTGCCTCAGCCTTGCCAGCTGGGATTACAGGCATCTATCACTATGCTTGCCTCTTATTTAACCAGTTCTTAGCCTGTTTTCCAGCTTGACTTTTCTTATTACAATTAAATTTTTACTTAATTTTATTATTATTCCCATTAGTCATATTTTTATTGAGATATATGTGAGTGGTTTTTGTGTATTCACTAATTTATATAGCCCCCGCCACTATCCAGTCCTAGAAGACTTCCATCACCCCAAAGAGAAACGCATAGCTGTCAGCAGTAAGTGCTCTTCACCCTCTCCCTCTCACCCCGTAGTCCCTGATAACCATTAGCCTACTCTGCCTCTATTGCCTACACTGGACAGTCTCATACAGGTGGAGTCACATAATATGTGGCTTTTTGTATATGCCTTCCTTCACTCAGTGTATCGAGGTTTATCCACATTGAAGCATGTGTCAGTATTTCATTCATTTTTGTATTTGAACAATACTGCAGTGTATGAATGGGCCACATTTTGTTGCCCTTCATCTATTGATGGACGTCTGGGTTGTTTCCACCTCTGGGTTACTAGAGATAATACTGCTGGGAACCTACGCTTTCAGTTCTTTTGGACATGTATGTAGATGTGGAATTAATTGCTCACTCATGTGATAACTGTTTAACTTATGAGGAACTTTGCTACACCATTCCCAGTGTGTGCACCTTTTCTTATTTTCGCCAGTAGTGTATGACGGCTCTAGTTTCTCCTCATTCTTACCTAGCTTTATTTTCCATTTTTTATTAAATTTTAAATTAGTCATCCTAGTGGGGCATGTATCAGCATGGTTTGAGTTTGCATTTCCCTATTGAATACCCAGTGTTGAAAAGGTTCGTCTGTGCTGTACTGACTGCTTGGACGTGTTTGGAGAACTAGATTTTTAATACATACATGGTTTTTAAATATTTTCTGCCATGCTATTGGCTTTCTTTTCACTATTGTACATGTTTATGGGAGATACATTCTTATACACACATTCTTAACTTTCATGAAGCCCACTTTACCAGTTTTTCTTTAGTTACTTGTGATTTTGGTGTTGCGTGTAAGGAATCATTCTGTACGCCAAGGTCACAGGCTATTCTTTCCTTGTTTTGTTTTGATTTCATTTTTTTGTTTTTTTGTTTGGTCAGTTTGTGTTTTGAGACAGGGTCTCTCCGTGAAGCCCAGGCCAGCCTTGGACTCTTGATTCTCCTGCCTTGGCCTCCTGAGTACTGGGATTATAGGGCTATGCTGCCACACCCAGCTTTTCTTTCTTTTCTTTTTTTTTGTGGTACTGGGGCTTGAACTCTTGACCTTCACCTTGAACCACTCCACCAGCCCTATTTTGTGAAGGGTTTTTCAAGATAGGGTCTCGCAGAACTATTTGCCCAGGATGGCTTCAAACTATGATCCTCCTGATCTCTGCCTCCTGAGTAGCTAGGTTTACAGGCATGAGCCATCGGCATCTGGGTCACACCCAGCTTTTCCTGTTGATTGACACTGGCAACCTTGTCAAAAGGGAATTGACCTTATATAGATGTATGGATTATTTCTGGAATCTCAGTTCTTTTCCAGTGATCCATATGTTTCTCCTTAGGCCAGTAACACACTGTCTTTATTATTGTTCTGTAGTACATTGTGAAATTGAGACCTCCAATTTTGCTCTCCTTCAAGATTGTTCTTGCTCTTCTGGGTCCCTTATGTTCCCCTATGAATTCAGGATTTGCTTGTCCATTTATGCAGAAGAGGCAGTTGAGATTTTGAGAGGGATTGCATTGAATCTGTAGATTACCCTGGGAAGATTGGCTTCTTAACAGTGTTAATTCTTGGAGCCTGTGAACATGGGATGTCTTTCCATCTGCTTCGGTGGTCTTTAACCTCTTTCGGCTATGTCTCATAGATTTCACTGTGTGAGTCATACTTTTTTGGTTAAATGTATTACTTCTAACACTATTATAAGTAGAGCTCTTACTGTTCTAATACTGTTATAAATAGAACTCTTTTCCTGACTTTACTCTGATTGCTCATTGCTATTGTACAGAAATCGAATGAGTACGTATTAAACTTGTATCCTGAAACCTTTTTAAACTCATTAGTTCTAATAGTTTGCGGAGGAATATTTAGAATTTCAAAATAATCACCTATAAATACAGAGAAATTTTCATATTTCAAAGCATTTCAGATTTTACATTTTCAGATTATGGATGCTCAACTGGTACAGTTTATGCAAATATTCCAGAATCAGAAGAATTCCAAAGTTTGAAGTACTTGTGATCCCAAGTTTTTCATAAAAGGCTACTCACCTGTATTTTTGTGGTGTTTCATGTTTGTATTCATAAGGGTACAATCTGCTGTTTTCTTGTGACGTTTCTCTCATTTGGGTGTTGGGTCACTACTGGCCTCCGAGAATGTGAGTTAGAAAAGTCATTTATTTTATAATAATTCTTCAAGTTAGTCCTAAATATGTCTTCACCTTGTATGTAGGAATCTCTTGTGATTCTTCCTTTCCCATATTAGAATGAAGATTGGTTGAAGAATTAAGTTGCCTCCCAGACTGATCCATTAGGCAGGTGTGGCTGCCCAATCTCTGTCTGGCTTTCTAAGCAAGACCATAGCAATCTTTCTGCTCATTTTTAGTATTAGAGTTCCCTGTGGAGTTTTATCTTCTCTCCTCTCTGCCCCAGGTGTAGCCAGCAGTTCTGGCCAGTTACTAGAGAGGTCTTGTGCTGACAGCTTAGCCATGTGTCCTGAGACCAGAACAGACACACATTGTGATGAAGGCAGGGCCTCTCTCTGCCCTTGGGGAAAATCCTGGTGAGGAAGTCAGTGCTCGTGATTCTGGAAATGCCCAGGCTACCACTGCACAGAGTGAGAGGCCATGTGATGTCCACAGTTCACCCAGTGCCAGATTGGCAGCACGCGCACGCTCCTGCTCCTGAGCCCCAGCAGGCACTTTAGCAGAGCAAGTCCAGTCCTTCTGAGGCTCTCCAAGACTTCTTTTGTATGGCATAGTGTAGCCCAGCGGTAGGGCATTTCCCTGGCATGTACAAGGCCCTGGGTTTGACTCTAGCACCACAAAAAATGTTTTTCAGTGAAGTGTCCGGGATGAGTTGAGAAGTGAATACTTTCCTGTGGGTTTAATTGAAGAAATGAGTTGTGCTTTATTTCTAATATTTATAACAGAAATGATGTTTATTGGGGAGGTGATCAAGAGTTGATTTCACATGTAGATGTCAGAGAGAGAGGACGTGGTTAACTAAAGAACCTCTAAGAGGCCATCTCTCTGTCCTCAGGCTACTCTTCTTTCTGGGGTGGTCCCTAACTCATTATCTTTTTCTCTCTAATTACAGGACATTTTGGCACAAGTCCTACAGATTTTACTGAAGTCGAAGTTATTGGTATGTTTGTGCACTTTGTACGTTAAGCTAGAAGAAAGGCCTTGTCTGTGATGTGTATATAATAGCAGTTGCTTTCTTCTAGGTCTTAGAAGATGAAAATGCAAATGTTGATGAGGTGGAATTGAAGCCGGATACCTTAATAAAGCTGTATCTTGGTTATAAAAAGTAAGAAAAATCTTTACATCATGGTCCTAGGCTATCTTTCACTGTTCGCAGACATAGTGAGCTCTCCACAGGGCAGTGGTCCGTTTGGGAGTCTAGATTCTTCTTCATTTGACTCTTGAGTTTAACTTCTCTCTTCGTTTGGAAAATAAGTCTTACATGGCTCACCTAAAAAGTTTGGACCTTTCTGGCCAGGTGGTTTGGTTTTATTACTTTGATGAACTCTGAGGGGGCAGATTAAGGACTAGACTTGTAAGACAGGTGTCACTCTTAACTGTCATTGTGAATGGCAAAGCAGGGAGCGACCCTATGGTGAAAGTCCAGGTGTGTGGTGGCATCCATTTTCCTGAGTGTTTGGGAGGAGTGACGCAGCAGACAAGAAGGCATGTTATGCTTTGCCCTTCTAGGGAGGCAAGGCTCTTCTGAAATGTTGGAAGACAGCAGCCTCTATTGCCTGCCTTTTCTGGCAATACTGACCAGTTTCCTTGATGTTTTTACAGTAAGAAATTAAGGGTTAACATCAACGTGCCAATGAAAACTGAACAGAAGCAGGAACAAGAAACAACACATAAAAATATCGAGGAAGACCGCAAGCTCCTGATTCAGGTGACTGAACATGTCTGGGTTGTGTGTCTCCCGCAGAGGACATGGCTTAGGGACAGGCTTAGGGAAATTGCGTGGTGTCCTATGCTGGCTCCCACTGGTAAGTAGCTGCCAGAACAATACATGGTTTGGTGAGGGTCAATGCTTGGATGACAGTGCTTAGAGCAAGGACATTGGTTTTTGAGGGATGGAGTCCTTTGTGTCCCCAGACAAAACAGCACAATCCTTTGTCCTAAATGTTGGAAAAAATGGCAGGTTGAAGCAGGAAGGTTTGAGGGGGAGGATGGGTGGCTTCTCTAAGCTTGGAGATTGAAATTTTCCTCATTTTCAAGTGCTTTTTTAAATGCTGTACAGAATTAAATTATTGAAATTACTCACAAGGACAAAACATTTCTAATGTTTGTTTTATTAGACTTGAAACCTGGGTAGACAGAATTAGCTCCCTGTACCCTCCCTGTGTCCCACTGCAGGACACTTGTTCCCTGTTGGGAAGTGCTAACCCTTTCCTTTAACTCTGATGCTCAGCCCTAGAGCTCTAAGTGTGTTTTTCCTTACTGGTTGCACAGGCGGCCATTGTGAGAATCATGAAAATGAGGAAGGTCCTGAAACACCAGCAGTTACTTGGCGAAGTCCTCACTCAGCTGTCCTCCAGGTTCAAACCTCGGGTCCCAGTGATTAAGGTACAGGAATCAAACAGCGGTAGTATTCCATTCTCGTGTTTGAAGAGAAAAGATGTTAGCAAAGGATGGATTGCTATTTTATGAAGGAGGGAACTGGTTTATTCATATGTAATACATTTCTACAAAAGAAAATAGCCTTAATTTTAACTTTTTTTCTTGAAGTGTATCTGCAGATAGGTGCACAAGTCATAAGTATATGGTGATTTTCACAAAGTAAATACACTGGCGTAAGCAAGCCCTGACGAATAAACTATCGCCAGCATCCCTGAGCCCTTCCAGAGGCCTCCCCACCCCAACCACAACCTGCCAGTCCCTGCACTCCAGATAGCAAACACTGTCCTCACTTCTGATCCCATGAGGCAGGCTTGCCTGACTGCACAATACATAAATTGCTTATAGAATATGGCTTTTTATGTGGGAGATGCATCTGAATTATAGTGTCTGACAGCTGATCATTTTTGTTGCTGTATAGGTGTTCTGTTGTACAAACATAACCAACCTGCACTTACCTAGTCTACTGTTGATTCACATTTGACTTGTTTCTAATTGGGCTTTTTTTAAGATGGTAGCCTAGCAGGTGTTTCATTTTCTGAAACTGCTTGGGCAAGTTGTAGCTAGTGGAGAGCTCAGAGGGTGGCAGAGGACAGGTGACTCCTCAGCAGGGTCAGGAGGCTCCATTGTATTGTACTGTCTTGTGTCTCGTGGAGTGAGAGGTCAGCAGGTGCTAATTCCTCTCCACGGAGTTCTTCTACCCCATTAACTGGTATTGATATCCTGCAGTGAGACTGAGTCCTACCCCAGGAGCAATCAGACTTTGCTAGAAAGGGAGATTGTCGCTCAGATGGTGCTGCAGTTTCGAGGTGGTATGCTGGGGGCACATGCTGTTACTGAAGGGACTTCATTTAGGAAGGCCGTCTATATAGCCAACAAAACTGGAGGCTAAGCAGATAGAAGGGGTGAATTGCTCCCCACTGAGCTCTGGAGGGTGGGTAACCATGGTGAATGTAGCTGGCCTACCTCTGTTCTGATGGCTTTTTGTGTTTGTGTTCCCTTTTCACTGCCTTTTCTAAAATAATGCCCAGAAATGCATTGACATTCTGATTGAGAAAGAGTATTTGGAGCGAGTTGATGGTGAAAAGGACACCTACAGTTACTTGGCTTAACCCTTCCAGAGGTGTCTGTGGGACCTGCAGCAAATAGTTCCAATGGAGAGGACGAAAACGGCTCAAGTTCATAGCAGACAGCCTGCCGCCATTTGGACCTCCCTTTTTAAAACTGAGACCGCAGCTCCCATCAAGCAAGCTGCTCTCAGACTTTCAGCAGAACTGCTCAGGACTGATAACATTTCAAGTCTGTAAATATGGACACCAACGCCATTTAAGCTAATTTAAGAACCGAGGGGAACTGAACCTTCCATGCTGAGGGCTGCATGCTACTGCATTTAAATCAATACATTGGCTACCTGGTTACCGCTGTCGGCCGAGGCAGCACCTGTAATGTTGGCAGCACTTTGAGAGCAAGTCTGAATGGACCCACGTGTAATCTGCTATGGAAACCCATTTGTATAGTGTGTTTCATTTTTTAATGTGTGAAATAAAGAAAATTAAAGGATTTCTGTACAAGTTGCATTTGGTTTTGTTTTAGGTTTTACTAATTTCTATATGTAAATAAAAGATTTAATGATTGTGCAAATGTATATTCCCAGTGTCTTCCTGTAATCTGAAAGAGCTTCGGATTGAAAAATAAGATCTTAACCCCTGTATTTTTTTTTTTTAACCTTTTGGGACAGTCTTTCTAAGTATAAGTAGCCCAGGCTGGCTTTGAACTTGAGATTCTTCTGCCTCCACCTTGTATGTGCTGAGATTACACCCATACTTGTTTCTATAAAGGCACCGAAAACCTTGAGCAAGTGACTGCTGGCTTCTACAGCAAGATCCTGCAGTGCGGCTGTTACTCTTGCCAGTGCCCGTCTTGGAATCAGGGCCCATGAGGTTGGAAACAAGATTGCTGCCTGAGTGAGTACTGCTAAGGATATGTAGCCTGCAGGCCGGAAGTTGGTGGGGTGGGCCAGTGGGAACTGGTTGGATCTCGTCTAACATGGCTGCCAGAATGACAGACAACCTCTAAGTTCATTTTAATGCCATGTGATGCTAAATGACACTCCAGTGCCATGATAGTTGACAAGTGCCATATTCGTGAAAAGAACCATAAAAGGAATGAAAAGAGGTGGTGCCCAAATTCAGGGGGAAATGTCTGCCTGTTTCCGGAAAAGACATGATTATTCCTCCCACTGTTATCCTTTCCCCACCCGTCATTTCTTTTAACTCTAACCTCCCAACCGCAAGGGCTGACTAGTTGATAGCAGAATTTATCTCCCACTTCTCATATTCTTGGCCAAGAGTAAGTCCTTCACTGCTCAATTGTTGCTCAATCTTGTTATTGGTTCCACAATTCCCAGAGGGAAAAAGGACCCAGTTAGGGGCCAAAAACTGAACAGTATCATAGCTACCAAAGTACTTCTTTATCTATCAGTTGGGGCAGGGATAATCAGGGAAAGTGAGGCATGGAAAACAGCCAGGAATTTACAAATAAGCATTGTGCTCAAAAACATGGGTATCCATGTTTCTTTGCTTTCAGCCTTACAGCCCCTCTCAACAAGCTGCAACATTTTTGTAAAAAGGGAAAAAGAGCGGCTTTCTCCCCCTGACCTTGCCCTTTCACCAAAAAGTAGTGCACTCTGAGAACTGAGTAAGGATACCTTAAAGAAACTTACGCAGAGAAAGAACCCTTGGGAAAATGACTCCTCTTGGCACAAAAATAACTACAAAGAAAAATACTGCTGGTCGTGGTGGTGCACGCCAGTAATCAACGAGGTGAAGAAGATGAGGCAGGAAGATCACAAGTTCAAGGCCTGCCTGGGCTACACTTAAAAAAGAAAAATACTTATCGCAGGGATGGACACCTGTCCTGGAGCATCTCACAGGACCCATCCTTTGTTTAAAGGGATTTTCAAACATCTGACATAATGACCCAAATTTAATGAGCAAGCCAACCTTAACATAGAGACTGTAAAAAACAAGTTATTTTGTCTATCCAAAATGCCTCTGGTATGATCAGTACCTATGCACATCCTTAAAGGGAAATCACATGTTATTCTGAAGAGGAATCCACTGTGAACAGAACATATCCACTCTGCAAAGTACCAAATCATCTGGTGCTGCTCTGGTTCTGGAGACATTTGGATTTTCTTATGTTTATTTCAGGGAATAAATCAAGTAATATAAAATTTAAAAAAAAATTTTTAACAGCAAAAGCAACTAATTATACCAGGTGTTAGAACCAAGAGGTGACAAATTTGAGCCAAACCCCAAACACCACTTTTCACCATAAATACCCCTGATGTTAGAGCACTCGTTGCATCTGTTATCAGATGTGCCCATGTCTGGGCTGTGTGCTGTTTCTTTTCTTTGCTTTACTAATAAAATTATTGGTCTCTACTTCGATGTATTCTAAAATTCTTTTTTGCCAGGTGGAGGCCTCCTCCCTAGAGTATCACCAGTTCCAGTAACACAACTTCAGACCACCTCCTTAATAAAAAATATACTGTCTTTAGGATTACTGGACAAAAATCATAGAAGGGTCCCCTAGGAGGGAACAGTGTGCTGTCACACTTGTGTAGCTATGGTCTACTGGCCAGACACTTCTTTCTTACCTTTGTGAGAAAGTAGCCTGGCCCACTGAAATTTGAAGACTGGTTCCCCAACATGGGCAAGAAAACAGTAACTACAGGACCCCAGCAATTGAAAATACGTTGGGGCATTTTAAGATGTCTGTTGCTTATTCAATATTGGTGCCTAATTTTCCTCTTAAAGAAACTTAAGATTTTGCCACACCAGGGTTAAAACTCTGCTGTCCTGGTCAATTACTTTTTTATACCTTAGCTCACCTTTTCAATTCATGCACCTAACCAGTGGAAGACCAATGACATCGTCCTAACAGGTCAGTATGAACTACATCTAATACCTATATAGAGTCTACACAGCAGCCTCACTGGAAATCATTTATGACAAACAGCTGAGGATATAAGCAAGCATTTACTTCAGTCAAGCCCAGGGAAAATCATGTGACAGAATACTTAGGTTCTTTCAAAATGTCCATACTTACTTAAGTCACATGATTGGCTGGTTTGCACAGACTGACTTGGCAGGAGTTGCTGAGCTCCTAGGACAGAGGTGGACTGAGGAATGGGTATGTGAGTGCCAGTGCTCGGATAAGCCAGAGAATACTGAAAAGCAAGGAGTAGCTTCTAGGTAAATTATGATTTTTTGATAAAAATTACAAAATATTCTGGATTGAAAAGAATTTTGACAAGCCATGTTGTTTTATGGTGTTTTTGCCCACAGCAGGCAGTCTATGGGCCAGGTGATACCTGTGTATAGTTGTTCAGCCTGTGTATCAAGCTCTGTGCCCACCCCCCCACTACACAAATCCAACCTAAAGACTGCCTTTATCATATAAAGTACATCAAGTGGAGACATCGAATGTTTCAGGAAAGAAAAGCTCAGTATTCATGAAGTTACTAGTGAGGGTAGTTAGAGAAGTACAGTTCTAATCATGGAATTAAAAAACTTAATTGTGCATTAGGAATGCACTAGATGGTTCTCAAAATTTATATCCGTGCAATTGGTGTCTTTCTGATGCATTTAGAGCTCTGCCAGATTGAGCAGAACCTCAGTGATCTGGAGGACCCACCTGTCTGCATGTGGGAATGGGATGGTAGAATGGCCAAAACGAGCTGTGTTGGTAGATACTACGGAAGCCAAGTAAAATCTGGAGTGTCCTGAACAGGCCCACGTGTGGTAAGAAGTAGATGCACTGATTTGCCTAAGTCTAAATAAGACCACTAGATTATCCACAGAAGAAGTGATCTAAACAATCAGCCATCTCTTTAGGGAATAAGCAGCTGCCCACTTTGCCCAGGGTGGAACAAAAGGCACCCAAAGACAGGTACCAGAGCCCCTGCTCTCTGAGAGTAAGTCAGCAGCAACCTATGGTGTGATACTGTTTCTTGGGTGAAGAATGGGGATCACCAAACAAATTCTATCAGCACAGTCATTAGAAATCTTCCAAAGAGATATGAGTGGCACACAGGAGACTAGTCTTAAGGCAGGCCTTCTCATGGCAAATTTACTTTAGGACACAAGTTGACGTGCCTTGTGCACTGACGTGATAGAAGTCAGAGAAATTCTTCTGAATTAGACAGTAAGGTGAGTTTATAATATTTATTGAATGTATCTAACTCTAGGAAAAGGAACTTGGTGCCAAATAGTTACACACTGTGGGCTGCTTTTTAGCTGTTGTGAGGGTCCCCACAGCAAAGCAAATGCTCTCAGCATCTGCGAAAGTGCCAGCCAGTTAACATTGCTGCCCGCTATCATGCAGGAGATACAGGCATCCCATCTCCTGGGGACTTGGAGAAGTTGTTTCTTAAAATCCCCTTTTTTAAGATGTAAAAGTACAGCTTGGTTTTGCCTGCCTTTTGAGGGGGTGGGAGGGATGAGTGGGTGGGTGGGTGGAAGTGACAGGTCTTGCTATTTACCCCCAGGGTGGTATGGATTTCACAATCCTGCCTCAGTCTCCTGAGTGCTGGGAGTACTGGGATAAAGATGTGTACCACATGCCTGGCTGCCTGGCTTTGGAAAGCAGGACAGAAATCTCAATTTACAATGTTGTATTGATAAGAACTTCACCTAGGCTTATGGAATTTAGAGCGAGACAGATTCTTAGAAGTAACCTAGTTCAATTCTATCATTTTATACATGGAGAACAGACCTGGAGGTTAAATAACTTTCTCTAGGATACTCAGCTGATTGGAACATACTCTGCCCTGATGTCCTGTCTTTGAGATCAAGCTCTTTCCTCACCAACTCTCAAGTATGGATGCTGGTGTTATTTACTCACCAGGTCTCCTACACATATTAACAGGAAAAACTGGCATTAATTATAAGTTGGCAAATTCTATGTTATTATGTTACATGTTTATATCTAACATGAAAATGTTTTATAGTTAGGCAAATTAATACTGTCTATTAATATAGTAGTTAAATCAAGATATGTAGAAGACAACTGTTAAGTCCAAGTGTTTTTCCATTAGAGATAGTCATTTTCTAGAATCAGTCGATAAAGCTCTGATAGTTGATGGCAACAAGGAGAAGTTCAAGTATTCTTTATTCAAAGTTGAAAAATGTACCATACTGCATTATTGCAAAAATTCACTGGTACAAAAACACTTTGCAGCTGGTGAGAAGGCAATAAAAAGTTGATTTTTAAACTCATTATTATAAATTATTGTTACAGTACTTTGCAAGTTCAGAATTTCAAACTGCATGTTCTTTTTCTAAATTGCCCTCAGTACTCGAGGTTCCTGAAGCTAAGGCAGCTGTTTCAGAGAGGAGGGGTAGGAGGTAGCAGATGTCAAGGGATTTCCATTTCTCTTTCGATGCCCACATACTTCAGGGCATCAGCCTGGCTGTATCTGAAACAACAGGAACAAGGAATGACTGCCTATCCAGTAAGCAGTGAGATTAACACAACAAAGCCTGCTGAACCTAGTATGGAACGAAAATGTCTTAAGTCCCCTCCCCAGTTATACAGATGCACACATAAAGAAGGCAAGGCATGCACCTGCGTCAA